TTCTCAGTTGGAAGCTGCAAGTGGATTGAGTTGTGCATGCAGTTGAAACAAGTATGTCAGTCTATGCAATGAAAATTAAATCCACTCACTGTATTTGTACTGATAACTATCCCCAGACAGCCCAATGTATTTGTCTTTTGTTTTTCTGGCTTTTCTTCTTTCATCTCGAAGTCTGTCATCATCTTGAATAAATCCTACTATTTCTTTGACTTTTTGCCTCACTGGAAAGAAAACAAACACCCAAACTGTCACGTACTATCCATGGGCTAAAAGACATAGCAAATTCTGAGCATACAGGTACACACATACCATACACAGCGTTTGGGATTACCAAATAAGGTATTTAAGTAATGGTAATTGCATTGTGGCAATTTAATTGGCATTTCTTGACTCTAGCTTAGTCAATGATGTACGAATCATACACAAATGATGATTGTCACTGAACTAACAGTGATACACACACGAAACACACAACAATTTTTATGGTCAATACCTATTTTAGGCGAGGCAGAAATCAGGCATTGTACGAGGAAACGAGTACCTACCATTTATACCCTGATCTTTACCGAATTCATCCCTATATTGGAAATCTTCTAAACCTTTTAAATCGTAGATATGTTCCCGTCCACTTGTCACTACTCGTTCTGAACCGTTGAGTATCAAATACTTTAATAATAGAAGACACTATAGAGAAACAAACAAACCAAGAGTAAATACAGTATTTGTGATTGTGCAACTATTTTTATATATTTTTGTTTTTGTTTTAATTTACTGATATTATTAAAATGAAGTCAACTCTTATGTCATTCACCTGATCATGTAGCCATATTATTCTTACATGTATTTTTTTTTTCAGTTAGTTTTAAACTTATTCTCAACTTTGCAACTCAGAATTGAACTAGATTCCCAAGACATAGCAGGGAAACATGCAGCCATGCGGTGCTCAGCAGATCATGTGTTGAATGGGTGCACATTAGACCATTCTTAGATTTAGTTTTGTACATAAAAGAGCCAGTTCCTATTATTCACGACCATAGCTGAAGTGACAGACTGTATTACAAATCTAATGTTGATGTCTGAGGTAGTGCTTTTGAAAGTCAACTTTACAAAACGAACGAGAATATTTTTTTTTACAAATATTTTGATCAAGACTAGTAGCCATAATTATTAACAAAATTATATATTTGTGCAAAATTACCAAAAAAAATTTCAGAAAAATATTCGAAAATGTACTGAAATTGTGGTGGGACAAATTATGCTACTAGTTTCGTTCATTGGAATCATGAATTGAGAGCCCTTTTCAACAGCCAAACAAGCAGAATACATTTTCATAATGAAGCATAGCAATAAGTATCCAGATATACTGTAAAATGACTAATTTTCACTGGGTTAAAATTTCGCTGATTTACCATTTCAGGCATATTCAGTGGGTTTTAAATTCACGGTTTTATCATTTACGTAATGTGTTCTACGCTAAATGTTACATATTCACTGGGTTTTAATTTAGCGCATTTTCCAGACAGCAAAATAAGCAAAATTAAAACCCAGTGAATAATTAACCCCTATACAGTACATTCCCCTTGTAATAAGCTTTATTTGACTATTCACATTTAGTGAAAAAATAGAAATGCTAAACATAAATACAGAACGGAGAATTACAGAAAATCAACAAAGCAGAAAATGCCACGAAACAGCATATACGACTTTTTGCTCTACAAACAAAAAATATTTCGTTTGAATATTTTTGAATGAATCAACTGGACTCAAGATATCCAGAATAACATTCAGGATTTAAAGAAATAGGTCAATCTTTTAGTAACGAGGACATATACAAATATGAATACCAAAATTACACTTAAATGTAGAGGAACATGAAACAGGATGTCCCTAATCAATAAACATCACATTGCAGGTTCAAAGTTCACAGACCTGATTACAGTGATTGAGACGTTTCAGTAATTTGCTGGTATTTTTTTCAAAATGTCAAAATTTTGTTCAATCATTTCAGACATAGTGGCTATGCGTTTTGGGTTAAATTTACTCTTTTATACCTAAAATACGACAAATAATTAGAAACGTCTCATTACGCTAGTTACAATTATAGACAAGCAGCCTATCGGCTGAGATAGCTCCGCTGTTAGCAATGTACATTTCAATTAAAGAACTGAAGACATCATTAGAAAATGATCAATATGAATAGTATCAAAGCAATCGGACTTACAGTT